CAAAAAACAAATAGAGCAGGATTTTACCCACAAACATCTTTTAGTTGACATTGTGTTTTCAAATTGACAAATTTTGCACTGATTGCAATATCATGAAATTCTTTTGAAAATCAGGATAATCTGAATTCACGTGCCTTGCATTCTAGTATGGAAGCAAATGACAAGAGCTAAGTAGCAGTTTCATCCATTAAAGGGCAAATGCTCTGTGGCTTCTGGAAGACCTCTAAACTTATTAATTTCTAACCCATATCCCAACTTCACAACCTTATTTAATTTTTGGCCTTATGATTGAATATACTGTGAAATGTACACAAATGCCAGTTACAATATAGAATAGCAACATAATAGAGAAAATGATTCTCTCTACTTACAAAAAAGTCTAGCAAGATAACATATAGGTGATGACTTTATATCCATGGTGGCTAGATCAAGTGAGGAAGAAAGAAAAAGGCATATTTCAGGGAAGAAGCCATGATTTTTAATTGTTGTAATCACGTTTGTTCCACGTGAGTTTGTATCAGGTTTGTAGAAGAATTTTCTTTTGCCCTTGATATTACAGTTTCATTAAGCCTGATACTTAAGAGTCTGACACTTAATGAAACAACCCAAATCAAATAACATATAGGTGGATAAATAGTGGTAAATTTTTAAAATGTAATGCTATTCAGTAGAAAATATATCAAATTAGGGATCCATACATCAACTGGATGATTCTCCAAAACATTTTTGCTAAGTCAAAAAATGTACCACGAAGGACTATATATGGTTTTATTCCATTTATATGAAATATAGTAAGAAAAGTACATCTGTGATTAGCAAAGGCTGGGCATGCAGGGAAATAATTGTCATAAAAGGGATAAAAAGGGAGCTTTGGAAGTGATGAAATGCTCTATATGTCAATAGTGGTGGCTGTCATATGGATATACATATTTGTCAAACACATTGAATTGTACTTAAAATGGACACATTTGTACCCATTACGTACTATAGTTCACTGTCTCCACAGAGATCAGTTCTTTGTGAAGAAATACATGTATCCGTTAATAGAATAAAAGATTAAAATTATATGATCATCTTAATAGATGCAGAAAAACATTTGACAAAATTCAATGTCTTATCATGAAAACTCTCAACAAATTGGGTATAAAAAGAGCATACATCAATATAATAAAAGCTATATATGACAAGCCCACAGCTAACATCATACTTAGTGGTCAAAAGTTGAAACCCTTCCTTTATAGTCAGAAACAAGACATAGGTGTTCACAGTCACTACTCTTAGTCAACACAATACTGGACATCCAAGCAATAACAATTAGGAGGAAAAAAGTATCCAATGTCTGAAAGAAATAAGTAAAATTGTCTCTGATAGCTCTTATACATAGAAAACCTTAAAGACACTACCGAACAACTCTTAGAGCTAATAAATGAGTTAGGAAGTTTATGCAGAATGCTAAATCAACAAGCACAGAATAAGTTGCATTTTTATATACTAATAATGAATTATTTGGGGAAGAAATAAAGAAAAATCCAATTTAAAATAGCAAGAATATCAGTAAAATACTTAGGAATAAATTTAATCAAAGCATTAAAAGATACGTACACTAGGGTGCCTGAGTAGCTCAGTACATTGAGCTACTGGTTCTTGGTTTCAGCTCATGTCATGATCTCATAGTTCCTGAGTTTGAGTCCCACATAAGACTCCTTGCTAACAGTGTGGAACATGCTTGGAATTGTCTCTCTCCCTCTCTGTCTGCCTCTCCTACATTTGCATCTCATTTTCTCTCTCTCTCTCTTAAAGTAAATAAATAAATTTAAGTGGTAACTTAAATCTGAAAACAAAAAGGTTTTGATGAAAGAAACTGAAGAAGATATAAACAAAAATATAACCAGTGCTTATGCATTGAAAAAGAGTTAAAATTGTTAAAATGTTCATATTACCCAAAACCATCTGTAGATTTAATGCAATTCCAATAAAATGTCCAATGACATTTTTCACAGTAACAAGGTAAGTGATTCTAAAATTCATATGGAACAAAAAAAATAAAATAAAAAAAATAAAGGACCTCAAATAGTCAAAGCAATCGTGAGAAAAGATAAAGTTGGAAGCATCCCATTTCTTGATTTCAAATTATTTTACAAAATTATAGTAGTAAAAACAAGATAGTATTGGCATACAACACAGACATATAGACCAATGAAATAGAATTGAGAGCTAAGAAATAAACCCATTCATATATGGTTAATTAATATTTGACAAAGGAGTAAAAAATACTCAGTGTGGGGGCCTCTGGGTGGCTTAGTTGGTTAAGCATCTGACTTCAGTTCAGGTCATGATCTCATGGTTCACGGGTTCAAGTTCCGCATTGGGCTCTGTGCTGACAGTTCAGAGCCTGGAGCTCTGTGTCTCTCTTTCCCTGTCCCTTCCCTGCTCATGGTCTCTCTCTCTCTCTCTCTCTCTCTCTAAAGTAAATAAACATTAAAGAAAACTTTTTAAAAAATACTCAATGTGGAAAAGATAGTCTCTTCAGTGAGTGGTGTTGGGAAGACTGGATAACCACATCCAAAACAATTATACATTTTATACCACACACACAAATTAACTTGAAATAAATTAAGGACTTAAGTATAAAAACTACCATAGGAAACAAGTTCCTTGACATTGGTCTTAGAAATGACTTTTTGTACCTGAAATCAAAAGAACAAGCAACAAAAGAAAAATTAGACATCAAACTTAAAGCTTCTGCACAGCAAAATAAACTATCAACAAAAATAAGAAGACAATCTATGGACTGAGAAAAAATATTTGCGAACAATAAAGAGGCTAATATCCAAAACACATAAAGAACAACACAGCTCAATATAAAAACAAACAAGCCTCTTTAGAAGTCAGCAAATGACCTGAACAGAAATTTTTCCAAAGAAGACATACAAATGACCAACAGGTAATGAAAAGCTGCATATTGCTAAACATCATGGAAATGCAAATGAAAACCACAGAGAGATACAACCTCACAGCTATTAGATGGCTATTATCAAAAAGACAAGAGATAACAAGTGCTGGAGAGGATGTGGAGAAAAAGGAACCCATGTGCATCGCTGATGGGAACATAAATCTGTACAAACAATATAGAAACAGTATGGAGCTTCTTCAAAAAAATGAAAAATAGAACGATCATATGATCCAATCAGCCCCCTTCTGAGGATATAGCCAGTGGAAATGAAATCATAATCTTGATGCACCTTCATGTTCATTACAGCAAAGCTCACAAGCCTTAAGACATGGAAACAATGTTAATGTCCATTTGCAGATGAATGGATAAATATGATGTGGTACTTATATACAACGAAATATTATTCCATTATTTAAAAAGTGGAAATTGCCATTTGTAACATTGGATGAGGGCATTATGCTAAGTGAAATAAGTCAGAGAATAAGAATGTATGATCTAACATCTTTTTATATGTATGTATGTATTTAGAGAGCAGGAGCCAGGGGCAGAGGGAGAGAGAGAGAAAAATCTCATGACCTAACTTTTATGTGGAATCTAAAAAAGTCAGACTCATATAAACAGAGTGCAATGCTGGTTGTCAGGGGTGAGGGACGTGAGAAAAGGGGAAATGTTGGTCAAAGGCTACATGCCATCAGTTACAAGATGAATACCTTAGGGGAATCTAATGTACAACATGGTGACTATAGTTAACAATAGTGTACTGTATACTTGAAAATGCTAAGAGAGTAGATCTTAAATATTTCACCATGACCACTACTACTTAAAAAAAAAAAGAAAAGAAAAAGAAAAAATTATGCTTATGCAATATGATAGATGTGTTAATTAGTCTTGTGATAATAATTTCATAACAAATACATGTATCAACTCATCACAATGTACACCTTAAGCATATACAATGTTATGTGTCAATTATATCTCAATAAAGCTATAAATAAAACACTAAACTTAGTAAATTTCCAAGATTAAAATTGTAAGGCACATATTCTCTGACAACAGAACTAAATTACAAATATATAACAATAATATATCTTTTAAAATCTTAAATATATGATAATTAAGCACTGTCTTCTAAATAGCTCAAAGGTTAAAGAAGACACTGGAAAAAAAGGAAAATGTTGCAAAATAAATGTAAAAAATAGGAAATCAGCAGTTTACAGCTAAAGCAGTGTTTAGGTAAATGGAATAAACATTTACATGAGAAAAGAGAAAAACTCAAATCCAAATTTTCACTTGTAACCTAGAAAAGAAGATAAAGGATAATGACAAGTAATTCTAGATTTTTAAAATCCAAGTAACACTGAAAATATTCTTTCTTTTCCTAGACTTGAGTGCATAGATTCAGGCTTGCAGGTCAGAGGGAAGAAGTGGGTCCCTATAGTTCAGAGACCACAGACTGGTACCACAAACTCAGAAATAGGAAAAGAAAATCACCCTATTCTCTCTTCTACATTCTGATATTGACCATTATATGAGCACATTCACAAGGAACAGGAAGACTATCATGATCCATGATTTTTGATTTTACTTAGTAACTCAAAGGAGAAGTATGGAAGGATGTGTTTCACAAAGACTCCTACTCCCAAAAGATAGACAGTAATAAGAATAAAATAAATGTAAGGAGTTCAGCAAGAAGCATCTTGATCTGGTTTATCATTGTAAACAAAAAGAACACAGGAATGTTCCATGCCACACTGAGGGGGACATTTCAATGAGAACCGTGCTCCTCAAATTTTATGTGTTTACACATCACCTATGAGTAGATTAAAATACAGATTTGAATACAGAGGTGCAGAATGTGGTGCTAATACATTCTCTAACAAAGTCCAAGGTGATGCTGCTGCTGCTGGTCCAGGGACCACATGTTCAGGTGCAAGAATGTATATTAATAAGTGAAGACCTGAAATTTTTAGCTGAGATATTTGAGACATATTCATAGAGAAAATAAAAATACATCATCAGAAAATGCTAAGATGTTTGAGCCAAAGTTTTAGTTACGATTTATTGGATATCGGAGGCAGTCCCATTTAGTGATCCTATATCTTCTGAGGACATTTTTCAAGGCTTGTTTTACATCTTTGTTCCGCAGACTATATATCAATGGATTAAGTACTGGACTTACAAAGGTATAGAAGACAGCTATTATTTTGGATTCTTCGACAGTCTTATCGGTTGGTGGTCTTACATACATGCAGAAGAGCGTCCCATAAAACAGGGTCACGGCCATCATGTGGGAACCACAGGTGGAGAATGCTTTGCGCCTTCCTTCTGCCGATTTGATCCGGAGGATCGCACCGATAATGAAGGCATAGGACACCACGATGATGCTGAGGGAGGTGCAGAGGTTGAAGCCAGCTGAAACGAGCATGGCATGCTCTTTGATATAAGTATCAGAGCAAGAAAGCTTAATCAGTGGCGGGTCAGCACAGTAGAAGTGGTTGATGACGTTGGATCTGCAAAAGTTCAAGCGGAAGGTCAGGATGGCCTGGAACAGCCCATCTGAGAAGCCATAGACATAAGGACATGTGGCCAAACAGATGCAGGTACGCCTGGACATTTTCATACTATAGTGCAGAGGGTTACATATGGCCACGTAGCGGTCATAGGCCATCGCCGCCAGCATGTAAAACTCAGTGAGGAGAAGCGCGATGAAAATGTAACATTGTGTAAAGCAGCCAACAAAGGTGATGGTCTTCTTCTCTGATAAGAAATTAGCCAACATCTGTGGGGTTGCATTTGAGGTGTAACACAAGTCTACAAAGGCCAAATTGGTGAGGAAGAAGTACATGGGTGTGTGGAGGCGAGGCTCCAGTCTGATCAACAGCATCATGCCCAGGTTGCCCAAGAGGGTGACAAGGTACACAACCAGAAACAGCACAAAGAGGAGCAGCTGGAGCTCGGAGCGGTCTGTGAGCCCCAGGAGAATGAATTCTGTTATTGCACTGTCGTTGGTGAGGGACATTTTCGGAGCCTGAGTCTGCATTGCAAACAATGGAAATAAAGCAGTCAGGAAGGCACAATTCATATGTCTGTTTATTGAAATTATTTTCCCAACACATCTTCCATGGGTCATTCCAAATGAATATTACCATAAACAGAATTTGTCCTTTTATTAAGCCATTATTTCATTGGTCTTTGTATTGAATACTATTATATTTATCTCTATATACCTATAGTTATATTTATATTTGTATTTATAGTTTATATTTATAGCTATATCTATAGATAACTATACTTAATACCTATTGCATTATCCTCGTTTACAACTGAGCTACATGTCCCCTCTCTCCCTTCAATATTTTTTCCTTTCAAACTTTATTTTTTTTCCTATAAGGCATAATATGCTTTATGCTTCCAGCACAACTACATACCTCTAATTCACGTTGCAATGCATTCTATCATCTTTATGTATCTATTTTCCACTCCTCTCATACATTCCTTCCTCAGGGGCAGGTATAAAGTCCAGCTCTTTATCAAACTGACTTCTTAGCACATATTTATATACTTAATTTTAGGAAAGAAAAGAAAGAAAAAGGGTAATCATGAAAAACGGATTATTTACATATGTTTTAATCACCTCTGCATGACAATGGAGATTGTCATGTTGTCATGTCCTCTGAAAAATTAAGCAATTTTGAATTTCAGTGTATAAAGCAATAGATTGGAAGACTTCTTAATCAAGAAAAGTCACAGGAAATTTGTTTAAGGTAGTCTCATATGGGATATGGGGAACTTCATAGGTAACAATTATCCAAGAGGTTATAATGCAGATGTTACCAGAATCACAACTTTAAAAAGAATAGTCATTTTGGTCAAAAAAATTATGGCAAATAAATGATTGAAGAATCATCAAATCAAATGAATTCCCACTCAATATTCTGAGAACAGTCTACAGCAATGACATCACGTGCTAATAAAGAGGTAAATTTTGCATAGTCGGTATTTAAGTTGTTACAACTTGTATCTATCCAGAGGTATGACAATCCATATGGTTTTTTGCTCTGTTTTACATCATAAATAGCACTTAGTTTGCTCATCCTTTCTCAAATGCTTCTTTCTTGCCCTTCCTCGCATATTCAATTATTTTGCAACCTGCCCAATTCTTGTCTCATTTCAAGCTGAGTCACTTAAACTTACTTTAGTTTAGGTTTTATAGAGACAATTGCAATTTTGTGCTTTATCTCCTGTGTATAGAGGGAGAGTACTTAACATCTGTTGACTACACTAATATCACTTGCTGACAATGAGCAATGATCCTTAACCAAGAGTTACCTCATCTCCTCATTTGTAAGTGGGAATAATGATATCTGTTCTGTCTCCCTCAAGAGTCATTGAGATCCCCCCAGATCTCAAACAAAATGTCATGAAATAAGACTCATGTCATTAGGGACTGTCAATGCAAGAGTGAACAAAACTGCCTTCAAAATCCATGCCTTTCTGGCATTCACATACAGTGGCCAGACACATATTAGTGCTATGAAGTAAATGGTGTATCAAATGGAATTGTTATGGAGAAAAAGAAACTGGAGTTTTGTGGAGAGAATGTTCAACTTTTCAGTAGTAACATCAGTGAGGTACTTATAAAAAGGTGAACTTTTTAAGCAACAAATCGAAGGAGGATGAGAACAAGCAAGCTCATTTTAAGAATGGTATTCTAGAAAGGAGAAAGAACAGAGGCAAAGTTAACCTATACGATCTTTCTTTGGAACTACTGGTGATGTGTGTATGTGTACAGATTTCAGGCAGAGGAGTTCAGAACCTAAGCTTAGATGTTGCATTAAATATAAATGACTCCTTTCTTCAAAAGCCTGTTTCATCTCCAGTAATGAGTTCCTACCAAGATTATCAGTATCCTGCACTGCACAACAAGAGTCAGTAGATAGTTGCAGTGACCCGTCAAGAAGTGTCTATCAGGAAATTGCCCTTTAAGCAGTGTATTTGTTTAAATGACACACATCAGCAGAGTGGCTTAGAGATAATCTCATATTTGTTTGTACCCAGGGAACCCCAGAAAGAAGTAGATAGTGGTCCCCAAGACAGAGATAAATGGAGAGAAAATATCAGATGTGGGTGTTTCAGATTTATAAAGACACTACGGGAAATTGAACTGGAGGTACTTTTGCAAAATAACTCAGTTGTTGCATGTCATTTAATTACTGCTTATTGTATCTGAAAATGTCTTGACTCATGATCTGGGTGACTTGTGTGGGATCCAGAAATATCCACCTGAAAGTAGGGCAGAAGTTCTGATAATTGGGGAGAGGAAAAATAAAGATGAATAGCATGTGCTTACAGGCAAAGAACATCACAGAAGACTTAGCTACTTGTATCAGGCCAGAGCAAAAGGAGAGCATTCTGAACAATGTGTTGTTGGATTAGTGGTTTATTGATCATTGTTCAAAACTTATTAAGCATTTCAAGCTCAATAAGTATTAAACCTATCTAAACAGGTTTCTGCAACAGGTGGAGGTCAACTACACAAGTCTCTGGACAGTGAAGCATGGTATTCCTGGAACAGAGAGACTAACAGAACTAAAGATGGGGGATAGAGGGTGATCACCCTCACCCTTCTGAACAGAACAAGAAAAAAGAGTAAGGAAGATTAAATTAAAACCCAGGCAAGAATTCAGCCCTAGTGAGAATGTACTAGAGGGCAAGACAGCTCAGTGGTCACTCTATCTACAGAAATTTTGTAGCCCAATATATTTTAAGTGAATGACAAAGGTTTTTTTTTCTGAAAATAAAGTAAAGAAATAAAACTCTTAGAAAGAATTCATTGAAAAATTGGACATTTATCTTCTTTTTCCTCCTTTTTAAAATATAAACCTCATGAAATATTTAATGAAACCATTAAAACTATGGATCTTCAACCAGGATTAATACACAAGCTCAAAATCATTCCCAGAAAACATAGATAGATGATAGATAGATGATAGATGATAGATAGATAGATAGAGAGAGAGAGAGAGAGATAGATGATAGATAGATAGATAGATAGACGATAGATAGATAGATAGATAGATGTAAAGGACTCATTGATTACCTTGCTCTAACTACAAGAACTTTTCTGTTGGAGTAAGCTTAATCCCATTACTGAAAATGTCCTTGTATTTTTCTATATAAATAAAACATTTACCCTTTTTTGTTCTTTTGCCCGAGTGACTGCTCTTTAGAATATTATCCAGGGAGATCAATGAAACTTTCAATAATCATCTTGTCAGAAAAACTTACTGAATTCAAATTCAGGACGTGAGTACAGAAGGGACTGCATGGGAATATTTCCGGCAAACAAGGTGCAAATTTCTGTGCCTTAGTTTGACACTTCCAGCAATCTCCTCGTGTCTAAAACTAAAAAACATAAAAACACAAAGACTTACTTCTGATTGTAAAACGCACCAGTTTTTTTTCCACCTCTGATTGAGGAAGTTCACTGAGGCCTTTCTAAGCTGTAAAGTGTAGATGCATTTATACCAGGATGTGGGAGGTAGGGGCAGGTCTTAAAGTAAGTCTCAGAAGAATTTAAGAATAGCAGCAATGTGTGTTACATAGGGAATCTCCCCTGCGGGGATTCATTGGGACCCTCTGGGATCAGAAAACTAATCATATACCTCAGTCGTATTTTTCATAATTTCATATTTCCTATTTGCCCTAAGAGCTCTGGGAAGGGACACAAACATTTCATTCTCAGATTTTAACAATAGTCTTTTTATTCCTTATTTTCTCTTTCACCCTAAAACTGTTTGCTCTGTTAAAATCCAGAACTTTCAGAATGTCCCCTCCGATGAACACTGATGTCTTGGGGAGGGTCAATTATAAGCAGGATTGTGAAACACACAGGTCGTTGGCAAACACATGGTGAATATGTCCTATGCATGGACAACTTTCAGGTAGGTAATTTAAATGTCTTCAGAATAACTCTAAGTGGCAGGCGCTGCATCCTGAATTTTCAGATGAGGAAGAGAAGCTCCAATAAGGAGCACTGATGAACTAATTCCTTTTTTTGTCCAGATATGTTAAGTGGCAGGGTCTAGTTTGATGCCTATCCTCACATATGGAGTGGCCTCTGTTTTCAATTGAAAGTAAGCTGCCATTCCTCAACCTGCAGTCACTCTTTGTCCTTCCGTCCATCTCTGGTGATAAATATTCCTTGAGCTTCCCCTCCAGTTACCACCTTCCTCTTTCCCAGCACATCCAATTTGATTCTGGCAGTAGGAAAACTCAAACAGATGCCTTCTCCAAAGATGCTATCATTGCCTCCCTAGAACCAAGATTTACCTCCATCCTCCGTGGGCTCTTAGCACTCTGCTGCCCTCCCAGTCTAACACATTCTGTTTAATTATCTGCCAATATCTCTCTTGACCATGACACTGCAACGCTTACAAGAAAGAACTTTGATCTAGGCAGCTTGCATAGGCTCTGGTATAGGATTGTTGATCAGCAGACATTTGCTGAATACCTTAAGAAGTGTGCAACGTGTACTTAATTTTGTGAATCCACAGCAAGTCTTGATTATCCCTTCCCTGCTCATTTCAGGTTTTACTTCCTTCTCCTTCAGGAATGAAAGCTGTATGGAGATGAAGTGGAATGGGTGACTGCTTTGTTTAAGAACCATGGGAAAGAAATCAGAATGTAGCCGAGTGTTCAGGGTCATTATGGGAGATCCAGGCCACCCCAACCATTTTCCTTACATTGACTGTTGGTAAGACCTGGTCCTATCCTGGCTGCCTTGGCTAAAAGTCTGTGTGGAAGAAAACTGTAAAGTTATGATGGCTTGTGTTATGGCTTCCACCAGATGCTTCCACCAGGTCCCTAAGGGGACCCCACGGCTTTATGCCACACTGTACCCCTCATTGCCTCTTGTGTCTCTGGCTGTCCCACTGCTAAAATCCCACCAGAGCCTTCCACTAGTCCGGAGACCTCACTATCTCTAGCAATACTAGTCTTTTTGGATGTGAACGGCTCACCAGTCCCAACACATTACACTCTTCCCAGAAGGCAACTAGAAGATCAGAGCAGTGGAAACAGTCCCTCCCTGCAGAAACATCGGGGGGCCCTGAAGACGTCACTGAGGGAAACTAGGGGACCCATCTATTATGATCAGGAAGGCCAGATCCCAGGTGGCTAGATGTTTTTGTGTACCAACCCTTTACCACTATGGCCCTCCTAAATTGAAAACACCATACTCTCTCCTATACAGAGAAGCCTCAGGCTTATGGAACTAATGCAGTCCATAATTCAAACCCATAAACCAACGTGGATGGATTTCTGCCAATTACTCCTGACCCTCTTTGACACAGAAGAGCGTCACGAATTACGCAGTGACCCCTAACATGGCTAGAGGAGAATGCCCTGGTTGGGACGCTAGACACCCAGGCTTGTGCTTAGACTTACTTCCCTGGGGAGGATCTCAAATGGGACTCAGAAGACTCAATCATAAATGGGCTCATTAGGACTGAATGGTATCAAGAATCCTTCTAAATGGCATGAAGATGGGGGCGGGGAAAGGCCATGAATATGAGTAAAACATTAGAAGTGCTCCAGGGACCCGAGGAGAACCTGAGCCAATTCTATGAGAGACTAGGTGAGGCATTTTGTCTCTACACCCCTATTGAGCCAGAGGTGTCCATAAACCAGTGTATGGTCAACACAGCCTTCATAGGTCAGGCCAAAGGAGACATTCAGCACAAGCTGCAAAAGCTAGAGGGTTTTACTGGCATAAATGCCAGTTAATTGCTATAAGTAGCAACTAAGGTGTTTGCCAACCGTACCAAGTAGTGCTAAGGGAAGAGTACTGTAAGATGCAGAAAAAGGCAGAGTTGTTAGCTGCTGCCTTCGTGGAGCAGTTGGAATGCTTCTGGAAAGGTGACCCACAAGGACGAGGCTGGGGCCAAAAAGGGGAACAGCAGGGAGGATCATCTCACCCAGGACCAAAGCCAGGACAGGATGAATGTGTTCACTGTTGTCAGAAAGGGCCCTGGAAAATGACTGTTCCCTTGCATCTGGGTAATTCTCAGCAGAACCTCCAGCGAAAAGAAAGAGGCCATGTGGTCCAAGGCCAGTATCAAGCAGAATCAAGGACTCATTGGAATCCCGGAAGATGATTTTGTGGGGCTAAAAAGAGAAAAGAGTATGAGGAGGACCTAGACAGACGGGGCTTTATTTTTTAGGTGCCAGGGCTTATGGTCTGAATGAATGTGGGGGAATGACCCATAGACTTCATGGTAGATACTGGGGTGAAACATTCAGTGGTGACCTAACTCGTGGACCATGTTTCACAGAGACAAAACCACCACTGTGAGGACCATGGGCAATCAGATAGGCTGTCCCTTCCTGCTGCCCCTGCAATGTAATTTAGGCAGTCATGAACTCATCCATGAATTTCTATACCTCCTCCACTGCCCTGTGGCTTTAATGGGCCAAGACCTGTTGAAAAAGCTGTAAGCCCAGATAACTTTCAACTCCCATGGACAAACTGCACTACCCTACAAAATCCAGAAGCACAGATGATGACTTTCACAATTCCCCGAGGAGATGAGTGGTTTCTCTTCAGTCTCATGAAGAAGCCACAAAAGGGACCTAAATTGCCCTTCAGAGTACCGGGGCTGTGGGCTGAGGACTACCCACCAGGACTGGCCTGGAACATACCTCCTGGAAATGTAGAACTAAAGCCAGGGGCAAAGCACATCCACCAAAAACAATATTTCATCCCTCTTAAGGCACAGGTGAGGATACATAAGTGCCTGGAGAGACTTCTAAAATACGGAATCCTCTGACTCTATAAGTCATCTTGGAATGTACCTCTCCTACTAGTCCAGATCCAGGCACTAACGATTATTTGCCAGTACAAGACCTGCATGCGGTAACGAGGCCACCATCACCCTGCACCCAGCTGTACCAAAACCATACACTCTCTTGGGCCTTATCCCCACAAAAGCTGGCTTTTTCACATGCCTAGACCTCATGGATGCCTTCTTCTGCACCTGCCTGGCCCCCCCCCAGGGTCAACCATTCTTAACCTTCCAGTGGGAGAAACCTGGGAATGGTGACAAGATCTTGTTGACTTGGACTAGATTTCCTCAGGGGCTCAAAATCTCCCCCAACTATTTTTGCCACTGCATTAACCTCAGACCTAAGAACCTTCCTAGTGGATCAACAGGGCTGTCTTGCTTCAGTATGTAGATGACTTACTGCTGGCTGGAGGGTCTTGTGAGGATTGCATGAAAGGAACTCGGTAGCTCCTTACATTCCTATGTGAAACTGGCTATAAGATCTCAAGGACGAAGGCCCAAGTCTGTCAAAAGAAAGTCAATTACCTTGGTTTTCACCTCTCCCAATGGCAGCACCAACTCTGTCCAGAGAGAAAACAGTCCAATTGTTCGATCCAGCCCTGTCTACTGAAAATTAGGTTCAGGAGTTTCTCAGAGCCACAAGTTTCAGTAGAATCTAGGTACAGAACTTGTCTGTCTTGGCAAAACACATTTATGATGCTACAAATGGATAAAAGTGGAAAAGATATTTACAAATCACATATCGGATAAAGTGTTAGTCTCCAAAATTTATAAAGAGCTTATGAAACTCAACACCTCAAAAAAAAAAAAAAAAAAACCCAAAGAATCCACTGTAGAAATGGGCAAAAGACATGAATAGACACTTTTCCAAAGAAGACATCCAGATGGCTAAAAGACGCATGAAAAACTGTTCATCATCACTCATCGTCAAGGAAATACAAATCAAAATCACAATGAGATACCACCTCACACCTGTCAGGATGCTAAAATTAACAACTCAGGAAAAACAGATGTGGGCAAGTATGCAGAGAAACGGGAACCCTTTTGCGCTGATGGTGGGAATGCAAAATGGTGCAGCCACTCTGGAAAACAGAATGGAGGACTCTCAAAAAAACAAAAAAACTACACTATTACCCAGCAATGGCACTCTCAGGTATTTATCGAAAGCATATAGATATGCTCTTTTGAAAGGGCACATGTACCCCAATGTTTATAGCACTGCTATCCACAGTAGCCAAAGTATGGAAAGAGCCCAGATTTCCATTGACAGATGAATGTATAAAGAAGATGTGGTATATATATACAATGGAGTATTGCTTGTCAATGAAAAGATTAAAACCTGCCATTCACTCTAGTGAATGGAATTAGAGTATAGTATGCTAAGTAAGATTAGTCAGTCAGAGAAAGACAAATATCATATGACTTGACTCATATGTTAAATTTAAGATACAAAACATATGAACATAAGGGAAGTGAAACAAAAATAATATAAAAACAGGGAGAGGAACAAAACATAAGAGACTCTTAAATATAAAGAAAAATCTGAGGGTTGCTGGAGGGGCTGTGGGTGGGGACATGGGCTAAATGGACATGGGACATTAAGGAGGACACTTGTCAAGATGAGCACTGGGTGTTATAAATAATGGATGAATCATTCAATTTTACTCCTGAAATCATTATTGTACTAGATAATGACCTATTGTTTAATTAACAAAATAAATATAAGCAACTGAGCTGAAAGCACCTTTATCCTGTTTATTGTTGTAAACAATAAGAACACAGGAATGTTCCATGCCACACCGAGGGAGACTTTTCAATGAGAACAGTGCTTCTCAAATTTAATGTGTTGACACATCACCTATGAGTAGATTAAAACACAGATTTGGATACAGAGGTGCAGAATGTGGTGCTAATACATTCTCTAACAAAGTCCAAGGTGATGCTGCTGCTGCTGGTGGTCCAGGGACCAAATGTTCAGGTGCAAGAATGTATGTTAATAAGTGACGCTCATTTTTTTCCCCAGACCTGAAATTTTTAGCTGAGATATTTGACACTTATTCATAGAGAAAATAAAAATACATCATCAGAAAATGCTAAGATATTTGAGCCAAAGTTTTAGTTACGATTTATTGGATATCGGAGGCAGTCCCATTTAGTGATCCTATATCTTCTGAGGACATTTTTCAAGGCTTGTTTTACATCTTTGTTCCGCAGACTATATATCAATGGATTAAGTACTGGACTTACAAAGGTATAGAAGACAGCTATTATTTTGGATTCTTCGACAGTCTTATCGGTTGGTGGTCTTACATACATGCAGAAGAGCGTCCCATAAAACAGGGTCACGGCCATCATGTGGGAACCACAGGTGGAGAATGCTTTGCGCCTTCCTTCTGCCGATTTGATCCGGAGGATCGCACCGATAATGAAGGCATAGGACACCACGATGATGCTGAGGGAGGTGCAGAGGTTGAAGCAAGCTGAAACGAGCATGGCATGCTCTTTGATATAAGTATCAGAGCAAGAAAGCTTAATCAGTGGCGGGTCAGCACAGTAGAAGTGGTTGATGACGTTGGATCTGCAAAAGTTCAAGCGGAAGGTCAGGATGGCCTGGAACAGCCCATCTGAGAAGCCATAGACATAAGGACATGTGGCCAAACAGATGCAGGTACGCCTGGACATTTTCATACTATAGTGCAGAGGGTTACATATGGCCACGTAGCGGTCATAGGCCATCGCCGCCAGCATGTAAAACTCAGTGAGGAGAAGCGCGATGAAAATGTAACATTGTGTAAAGCAGCCAACAAAGGTGATGGTCTTCTTCTCTGATAAGAAATTAGCCAACATCTGTGGGGTTGCATTTGAGGTGTAACACAAGTCTACAAAGGCCAAATTGGTGAGGAAGAAGTACATGGGTGTGTGGAGGCGAGGCTCCAGTCTGATCAACAGCATCATGCCCAGGTTGCCCAAGAGGGTGACAAGGTACACAACCAGAAACAGCACAAAGAGGAGCAGCTGGAGCTCGGAGCGGTCTGTGAGCCCCAGGAGAATGAATTCTGTTATTGCACTGTCGTTGGTGAGGGACATTTTCGGAGCCTGAGTCTGCATTGCAAACAATGGAAATAAAGCAGTCAGGAAGGCACAATTCATATGTCTGTTTATTGAAATTATCTTTCCCAATACATTTTTCATGGGTCATTCCAAATGAGTATTACCATAAACAGAATTTGTCCTTGTACTAAGCCATTATTTCATTTGTCTTTGTATCGAATTACTATATTTGTCTCTGGATCCCTAAAGTTACATCTATAACTATACCTATAGATAGCTATACTTAATGCCTATTCCATGATCCATGTTTACAACTGAGCCTCATGAACCCCTCTCCCTTCAATATTTTTGTCCTTTCAAACTGTATTTTTCTTATAAGGTATAGTATGCTTTATGCATCCATCACACCTACATATCTCTAATTCACCCTGTAACATATTCTATCACCTTTTTTATCTACTTTCCATCCTCATATAGTCCTTCCTCCAGGACAGGGACAAAGTACAGCTCATTATAGAACTGTGACTTCTTAGCACATACTCCATACTGAATTTTAGGAAAGAAAATAAAGGAATAGTGTAAGCATGAAAAATAGATTACTTATACATGTTTTACTCATCTCTGTATCCCAAAATCATAATGTCAAGTCCTCACGAGAATTAAGAACTTTTTAAATTTTAGTGTACAAAACAATTGCTTGGAAAGCTTTTTAATCAAGAAAAGTCACAGAAAATTTGTTTAATGTACTCTCATGTGGATATGGGGATCTTAATATGTAAAAATTATCCAGGAGATTATAATGAAGATGTTACCAGATTCACAATTTTAAAAAGGATATTCACTTTGGTCTAATAAAATTATGACAAATAAATGAGTGAAGAATCATCAAATCAAATGAATTCCCACTCACTATTCTGAGAACAGTCTACGACAATGACATCATGTGCCAACAAAGAGGTAAGTTTTGCATAGTTGGTATTTAAGTTGTTACAACTTGTATCTATCCAGAGGTATGACAATCCATATGGTTTTTTGCTCTGTTTTACATCATAAATAGCACTTAGTTTGCTCATCCTTTCTCAAATGCTTCTTTCTTGCCCTTCCTCTCATATTCAATTATTTTGAAACCTGCCCAATTCTTGTCTCATTTCAAGATGAGTCACTGAAAACTACTTTAGTTTAGCTTTTAGAGAGACAATGGCAATGCCATTTTGTGCTTCATCTCCTTTATCCAGAGGGAGAGTACTTAACATCTCTTGACTACACTAATATCATTTGCTGATAATGAGCAATGAAACTTAACCATGAGTTACTTCATGTCCTTATTTGTAAGTGGGAATAATGATACCTGTTCTGTCTCCCTCCAGAGTCATTGTGGACCTCAAACTAGATGTTCATGAAATAAGACTCATGTCATTAGGGACTGTCGATGCAAAAGTGAACAAAACTGCCTTCAAAATCCATGCCTTTCTGGCAGGCACACACAGTGGACAGACCCAATACTAGTGCCATGAAGTAAATGGTGATTCAAATGGCATTGTTATGGAGAAAAAGAAAATGGAGTTTTGTGGAGAGGATGTTCAACTTTTCAGTAGTAACATCAGTGAGGTACTTATGAACTGGTGACCTCTTTTAGCAACAAACTGAAGGAAGAGAATAAACAATAAGCTCATTTAAAGAAGGGTGTTTTAGGAAGGAAAAAGATCAGAGGCAAAGTTATCACATGCGATCTTTCTTTGGAACTGCTGCTGATGTGTGTATGTGTACAGATTTCAAGCAGAGGAGTTCAAAATCCAGGCTTAGATGTTGCATTAAATGTAAATGACTCACTTCTTTGAAAGCCTGTTTTATCTCCACCTATGAGTCCCTACCAAGGATATCATTATCCTCCACTGAACAACAGGAGTCAGGGGATAGTTGCAGTGTCTCTTCAGGAAGTATCTAGCAGGAAATCACCCTTTAAACAGCATATTTCTATAAATGCTACAAATCATCAGGGTGGCTTAGGAGATAATCTCATATTTGTTTGCGCCCAGGAAATCCCAGAAAGAATGTAGATAGTGGTTCCCAGGACAGAGACAAATGGAAAGAAAAATATCAGATGTGGGCATTTCAGATATAATTATAAAGACACTAGAGGGAATGAACTTGAGGGGTATATTTGCAGAAAAACTCAAATGTTGCATGTCATTTCATTACTGCCTATCAGATATGAAATGGTCTTGACTCATGATCTGTGTGACTTGATGAGATCCAGAAATATCCACTTGAAAGTAGAGAAGAAGTTCTGATAAGTGGGGAGAGGGAAAAATAATGAATAACATCTGTTTACATTGAAAGAGTGACACAGAAGACCCAGCTGCCTGTATCAGGCCAGAGCAAAAGATGAGCATTGGAACAATGGGTTGTTGGTTTATTTAGTTTACAACCTGGGAAAGCCTCTACCGTTTGGAGGAAGAACAATCAAAGGAGTCCTAAAAGGACAGAAGAAAACTGCAAATGGTAAAACCCAGAATAAGGATTAGCTACACAATATACAGGGTCCAATGCAAAATAAGAATGTAATTGATCATTGTTCAAAATTAGTAAGCATTTCAAGGTGGTGACAGCAGAGCATAAAACCTATCTAAATAGGTTTCTGAAACAGGTTAAGGTCAACTGCACAAGTCGCTGGCCAATGAAGCACGGTGTTCCTGGAATGCAGAGACTAACAGAACTGAAGATGGTGGATAGAAGGTGATCACCCTAATCTCTGTGAAAAGAAGAAGAAGGGGTAAGGGAAAAAAAAAAATTAAAACCCCAGCAAGAATTCAGCCCACTGAGAATGTGATAGAGGACAAGAGAGCTCAATGGCCAAGGTGTCTACAGGAATTTTGTAGCCCAATCAATTATAAGTGAATGACAAAAGACTTTGTTTCTGGGAAAAAAACCATAATGTGAAGTTAAGAAAACTCTTACAAGGATTCATTGAAAGAATGGTCCTTAAGCTTATTTTTCCTCCTTTTTTGAAATATAAATCTCATGATAAACTTAATGAAACCATTGAAACTATGGATCCTCAACTAGAATAAGTGTACACACTTATATTTTGCCAAAAAATAGATTGACGATGATGATGATAGGTAGATGATAGATAGATAGATAGATAGATAGATAGATAGATAGATAGATAGATAATAGATGTAACTACAAAAAATTTGGGGGGGGGGATAAGCTCCATTTCATCCCTGAAAATGTCCATGCATTTTTCTATGGTGGTAGAACTTTTACGGTTTTTGTTCTTTTGCACCAGTGACAGCTCTGTAAAATATTACCCAGGGAGATCAATGGAAATGTCAATAAGCTTCTTGTCAGAAAAACTAATTGAGGTTTAAACTCAGGACCTGAGCACAGAAGGGGTTGCATGGGCATATTTCTAGCAAACAAGGTGCAAATTTCTGTGCCTTAGTTTGACACTTTCAGCAATCTCCTCCTGTCTAAAAATAAAGAACATAAAAACACAAGACTTACTTCTGATTGTGAAATACACTTATTTTTTTCACCTCTGATTGAGGAAGTTCACTGAGGCCTTTCTAAGTTGTAAAATGTAGCTGCATTTATACCAGGATGTGGGAGGTAGGGGCAGGTCTTAAAGCAAGTCTCAGAAGGATTTAAGAATAGCAGCAATGTGTGTTACATAGGGAATCTCCCCTGCGGGGATTCATTGGGACCCTCTGGGATCAGAAAACTAATCATATACCTCAGTCGTATTTTTCATAATTTCATATTTCCTATTTGCCCTAAGCGCTCTGGGGAGGGATCCAAAAAGTTTTATCTTCAAAATTTGACAATGGTCTGATTTCCCATTTTTTTCTTTCAGCCTAAAACTGTTTTCTTTCTTAAATCCAGAACTCTCAGAATGTCCCCTCTGATGAACGTCAAAGTCTTGGGGAGGGTCAGTCATAAGCAGCGTTGTAAAACTTGCAGGTCATTGGCAAACGCCTTGGTGAGCACTTTCTACATGTGGACAGCTTTCACGTAGGTAATTTAATGTCCTCAAAATAACCTTAAGGGGAGAGGACTCCATCCTGAACTTTCAGCATAAAAGACAGAAACTCCACTAAAGGAATATTGATGGACTAACTCCTCCAGTGTCAGGTAGCACCTAAGGGGCAGGGTTAAGTTTGATGCCAGTCCTCACATACGGAGTAGACTCTGTTTTCAATTGAAAATAGCGGCTGTTCCTCAACCTGCAGTCATACATTGCCCTTTGCCCATCTCTGCGTGTAAATATTCCCTGAGCTTCCCCTCGAGTTACCACCTTCCTCATTCCCAGCAGATCCAAGTTGCTTCTGGCAGTAGAAAAGGCTCAAATAGATGTCTTCTCAAAAGATGCTTTCTCTGCCTCCACAGAACTGAGTTTGACCTCTCTCCTCCATGTGCTCTTAGTGATCTGCCCCCCATCCTAGTCTAACACACTCTGTGTAATTTACTGCCAATACCTCTCTTGACACCGCTACATTGCATCCTTATGGGCAAAAACTGATCTCTGCAGCTAGCATGGGCCCTGGGATATGATCGCTGATCAACAGATACTTGCTGAATAACTTAAGAAGTGTGCGTTGTGTACTTAATTTTGTGAATCCACAGCAAGTCTTGGTTATCCCCTCGCTGGTAATTTCAGGTTTTATTGAGCATACTTCTTTCTCGCTCAGAAAGGAAAACTGCAGGACAACAAAGTGGAATAAGTGACAAATTTATTTAAGAAACCATAGGAAAGAAATCACAATGAGGGTAATTAAATATAGGTGATAGACACGGAACAATTACTATATGCTAGCCATTAGGCCTAGCAACTCACAAGCATGAGTTTACTTATCCCTCACACAACTCTATAGAACATTAGCACTATTATCTTCATTTTACAGATGATAAACTGAAGCAAGAACGGATTAAGTAGTTTTCTCTAGTAGATGCAAATAGTGAACTGTGAGCCTGGCATTCAAGCAGGTCATTCAGTAGTTCTTGATATCATGTTGTTGATAGTTTAGCAACAA